AAGATTTTGCATGCCTACCACCATCACTACTGACCAAGGCCGACAATTTCAATGTCACTTGTTCGCATCCCTCACGTCTCTCTCTTGCCTCGCCATATTCGCACAAACCCATACCATCCATCTGGAAATGGGATGGTGGAACGCTTTCACCGATCTCTCAAACAAGGTCTGAAGTGCCACAGTAGCACACACTGGACAGAAGCCCTACCCCTAGTCTTCTTGGTCTTCGCACAGCATTCAAAGAAGACATTGGTAGTACTTGTGCTGAAATGTTATATGGTGCAACCCTCCGCCTGCCGGGCGAATTTTTTCATCCAGCATCTACTCCAGCCATCGATCCTTCAACATTCCTTCACCTATGAGTGATATCTCGCCAGCCCCAGCATCCTCGCATAACAAGCCAAGCTATTTTGTACATCCTACGCTTGAGACATCTTCTCACGTATTCGTGCCCAATGATGCCATTAAGCCAACTTTAACACCTTCGTATGATGGTCCATTCAAAGTTGTCAAACGGACACCTAAACATTTCACCATCACCTGCAACGGCAAACAATCAGTGATTGGAATTGATTGTCTCAAACCAGCATTTCTGATGCAAGATCCAGACAACTTCCTCAATCAACATTAATTCCCCGAATCCTGTTACATCCCGTTAAAGAACAACATAAAACTACCAGATCTGGAAGAAAGGTTAAATTTTTTAACCCAAAGTACTTATAACGTACCGATGGTACTTGGGGGGGAGTACTGTGGCGTTCTGACAGATACTTCAACTTCTATTCATGAGATGGCGCCACGTGTAAAATCCAGTTCTTAATCGGAGCAGCAAAGCGACGTCATTACTCACTCAGACTTCTCGTGAGACAACTGTACGCGACGGTAGCATGAACTGTGTTCCGACGGTAGCATCCTCTGTGTTGATCTCTGCAATGTAATTTAAATTGTAATTTAGTACCTAATATATTCTTTTGTTATAGGAGATTGTCTACTCTTATTTTCTTTAATTATATCATGCATTAAGCACACGACCACTAAAGTACCATGGACTCACCTCAGTTGAGTTTTGTAATATGCAATACAGTTGTTGATTGGAACAATTATATGCAGAAATTTTTTTAACCATTTTATATCTAGGTATGTTCATACTTGTTTGAAGTCTGTTAATAAATGTTATTTATCAAATCGTAGTTGATTTCTCATTTAAACTACAACACTGCACAATCCTAAATGTTGGAAATTATTTCTTACAAATTTTAATTTTTATGAAAATTGTTAAAAAATATATAGAAGCATATACCATGCCAGCAAATTGGAGTTAATGGCAATTGTATGGACATTGAACAGGTTAAGAGAATTCTTAATCGACATAAGATTTACAATATAGTTGCATTTAATTAAAGAAAAATTATTTCTAATGTGTCAGCTAAGTAATTTGACAACTGTAGCATTTAAATATTAATTACATTGGCAAAATGACAATTTTATGCGCTACCTCTCTTGCAAGAAATATATCTGATTTTAAAGGCATGAAAATATTTTAAGACTTGTTTTTAATATTTTTCCCCTCTTATTATACAGCAAGGATTATATACACCATAAGTTTGACATATTGTTACTATTTTAAGTTATGTGCTATCAATATGCACTAATTTAAAGTTTAAAAATGATGGCAATTATTTTAATTAATAGTGTTAAGTTGATATAAATACAGAACAATTTCCAAATTTTAATTAAAATCAGATTTTTTAATACATAATGAAAGCAATCTTTCATTGAACATTTTTATAAACAAATTGGTATATATCAAAGGACTATTTACCATTAATTCAAATGGAAAAAGGTTCTTGTATTAGGGAAAAAAAAGACTTTCAAATTATATTTAAACAAATTAAAATTACTAAAACTGATGTAATAAATATATAGTCTAATTAATAATATATATATTATTAATTAGCATTTAAAAGGCTAAGGTATATTTTTGGAAGCAGGAATGATGAAAAACGAGCAACGCTTTCGCCAGGAATCGAACCACGGACCTCTGGAATACGACCCCGAGCAGAAATTAAATCCATTTTAATAAAAAAATGTAATCGTAGAAAGTCAAAATACCACACAAAAATTTCACGTTTTTCTTTAAATATTCCTATATGAAGCGCCATCTAGTGCGAGCATATGACAAATTTTAAAGCGAAAGTTGTCGCGCTTTTGTGAACCAAAGCTTTGGTGTGAACTGACCGCAGAGTATACTCTGTGGAACTGGCGTACACGGAAAGCGTTTTTCAGCCTTGCCGCTTTTCGCCCCAACGAACCAGCTTTATTACCAAGGAGCCTCCTTGTTTATTACGATGGCCAGCGCATTTCAAGGACAAAGTAGACAGATGTCTTTTGTTGCACCCGCTAAGTCTTTCTGCACCGATGGGCGAAAAATCAAGCATAGGTGCGAAGGAAAGGTTATAGAAAGGCGGGAAATTTCGTATTTCAGAGGAGAGTAAAAAGGAACTCCAAAAGATAAAAATAGGGCCTATAGAAAGAAAAGGAAAGGAAGTAAGAGAATTTTGTTAAAAAAAACGCTATTATGTCCATGAGTGTAGTCAAAGGAAGTTGTTACCATTTACATTAAATAGAGTCTTCCAGGTGTGTGTAATGAGTGTGTTTTGTAAGCTGAATAGATGTGAAGATGGGGGAAAATTAATAATAAAATATAAATATTGGGGGTCCAGTCACATAACAATATAAGTCTAGTTTAGAAGCTAACTTTTGCTATAACAGGGAAACTAAAATTTAAAAATTTTTAAATTAAACTTTTATTTTTTAACATGGGAAACAATATGTTTGCCTCTACCTTGAGACACAGTAACAGAAGATGCATAAGACCAAGATACATATGATATCATGCAAATTTATACATTAACTTAAGTAACATCATCTATTGCGGTTTCCAGCATATTCATATACTCAGAAAACACTATTAGATAAAATCATAAATCTAAAACAAGGCGAGAATACATCAGCAAAAATAAATAAGTAAATAAATTACAGAGTTTTTTATTTTAATATTAATTAATTAAAAAATAAGCATTTTATTTATTTATTAAGTTAATGGTCATAATTTATTATATGTGTCTACTTTATCAATTTGAGGCACACTGTATTAATATATGCTTTTAATTTAAATAGATAGGAAATATAGATTAAAGGAGCAAAAACTACAAATCTATACATTCATTGAGGCCCAAGATCCTGTTTTTTACCTCTCAAGAATTTCCGAAAAGGGGCCCCAATGTGTAGCACTAACAGATTACACTACTGATAAGGATAGCGTCCTTACGAGATAGTAACCAAAAAAAAAAAAAAAAAAAAGAACCACATGATTTAAAGCAATTACTAAGTATTTAATGCCAGAACATATTAAAATGAGCATAATAATAATGATCATAATAAATAAATGAATTTAAAGGTACTTTAGTGACAGATATTTGATTTAGCTTAGAGAAAAGAAGTTCTACTTATCTGAATGTTCTGTCTTTGTGTTGTAAGTAAACCAGCATCGTGGGGAAACGACAATTCTCCGAGGAGTGGCGCCATTTCAGTGCAGAACTTGAAATTTCGAAACATATTTTTCCACCGTAATGGAAAATAGACACAGGTCAGTCAGTTTATGGATTTGACCGATTACTTCATTTTTAAATAACTGTACTTAAAGTTCTTTCTACATCTTGATACTCGAGTATAAAATACGATCTGTGTGTGTGTGAAATAAGAGAAGGGGGGCCCGAGTCCTATCTTCAGTCATTTTCTAATAACTTTCATGCTCTGCTTGAAGACATCAAGAATTTTTTAGCCGATTTCGGTGGCTGTTTGTTAATGTCTTAAACATTTATTAAAGAAATAAAGGGGAAAAAATATAATGTAGGCGGATCATGCGATCCTTATCTCGACATTTCTCGACTATAGATATGGATTACTTTATCTAGTATGAGAATTCTGAGTATCAGTAAAACTTTCGACTTTCTTGTCATTTTCGTAGAAGTTGCAAACGTATCCTCTTCCTAATAGAAATCATCTTTATAAATGCTTTTACGAGGCAATCATAAGCTATTGTATATAACATGTACACGTGACATAGCTTGATCATTAGGATAACTTTGCTATTGTCCAAATAATATTGATATCTGCAGTGTACACCGGATTATAAAAATAAGAAAACAGCTCAGTGCTCGGAAATGAGAGGATATTCTTGTTTTAGAATTTTTCTGAAATGAGTGAAAGATATTTAGATTTTTAAGATTTTTCGCAGTACTGCAAAATTCATTCTGTGCTGGAATATAGAAAATACAACTGTTTAAAGAATGCGAATAATATATTGCCTGAGAAGAAATCCAATTTCAGGATTTTAGCTTCGGAGAAATCTATCAGACAATGAAAAGAAACAGACAAGCAATGAAAGGCAAAGTATACATAGTTGCGTTTATTTATCTGGCAACAGGATTTAAATGTCTTCAAATTTACCGTCACTTTCAAAATGTATTATTACTTGTGATTATTATGGGTCTTTATTTTTGTAATGGGCTGTATATTATGTGCGTGTGCTATCCGTGGGCTGAATGTGTAGAAATTTTCAGTCACTTTGGAAGTTGAATGCTGTTTAATGAATGGAATTAATTGTAAGAATATTCTTTACTTTTATGTAACATGTCTGAAATGTCATTTGATATAATAATATCGGAAACTCGGCTCATTTTCTGATATCTACGACTTTTTTTTTTTTTTTCATATAATAAATAAGATTTCCTTTTCTGAATAGGTAGAAAACTATAACTTTTGAGTTTAAATTTTTCAGTATTTGTTAGCTTTGAGTTTAAACTCAAATGAATTTTTGTTTGACATATTTTAAACTTATTTTTAGATAACTTTTTGATAGTTAAATTATTAAACTTATTGGAATATTAAGAAAGTTTTTCTTTTTTAATCGTGTGCAGTCTTTTTTTTTTTTTTTTTAATGTTCATAGTTATTTATTTAAAATTATTGGAATTAAATAATCAGAACCTGTAACTAAAAGTATCAAATAATGTGACGAGTATTTTTAGCAGCTCGTAGCGGGTGTGTAAGTGGAAGTATATTTTTTAATGTAATTATCTAATTTGTTGTGATAAGTTAAGCCTTTTTCAATTTTTGGTTAATATTTATGTATATTTACACTGTAAACTCTCATATGTGATAATTTTCAAAATTTATTTAACATTTTATAATATTCTTTATATAGGCTACTCTTTATATTTGAAATGGCACAGTTTTACAAGAAACGAAAATTATCACTAACAGAATCATCTGAAAACAAGCGTTCTCATTGTTTCACTGTGCAAATTGCTAAATCACCTGAAGAAAAAACCGAAGAAAAGTTTCTTTTAGAATTGAAACCGTTTTCTACATTTCCTCATGTCACTTTTGATAAAGTGAAACTTGGTTCGGCTAAAGTGTGTACTCTTTATGTTTTTAATCCACTGCATGTGCAACAGGATGTCTGCATTGAAAAATTTCCTTCAGATAAAGGATTCACCATTGATACCTTGCTATTTACTATTGGAACAGGTGAAGAAAAAGGACTTGAAATTAAATGGAAACCTGAGAAATCAGCATGTTACAGGGAAGTAATAACATTCAAGTCATCAGCTGGCTGTAAAACTCGAGCATATCTTCATGGAACAGCATATTCTCCTAAAAAGGTAGAATAAAAGTTTTATTAACTAATATCTTATTTTTATGAACATGGATAGTATAATGTAAATAGTTTTTACTGATTTGGTTAATTATGATACACTCTTGATTGCATATATTTGTCTAAATACATAGCTTTAGTTTTTTTTTTTTTTTTTTTTTTTTTTTTTTTTTTTTTTTTTTTTTTTTATATTGTGCTATAAGCACGGCTAGAAAGTTTTTATCAAAATGTGTAAAAGCAGTGTTGCAAAAGCTTAAAAATGTCATAGCTAAATTAGTTCCTATTATAAACAGTGACAGAATCTCGTAAATAAAAACTTTATTAAACTATAGTAAGCAGTAAAAAGAAATGTATTTTAAAATTGCAACACATAAATGATTGCAACAAGTTAATTATCTAAATTATTAGGGGGGAAAACTACCTTGATATCAAGTATCAAGGTAGCAGTTTTGGAGAAAGTGCGGAATCGCCCACTGCTTGGCACGTTTTTTAAGAATTGCCTATACTCAGTATCCATGTACACATCGACTTATTTTCACTTTAAAAAAAAAATCCCCGAATTGCACAAAAATGGCATTGCGCACTTCGTTGACTTTATCCATGTAAGCAATAACCTATTTTCACTTAAAAAGTCAAAGAGAAAATTGACACAATTCCAATTCTTCTTGCTCTTGTAAAATGTGCCAAACAGTGTCGATGATAAGTGGGCGATTCTGCACTTTAGCCGTTGTTTTTCTCTTAGCCATCTTCTTTGACTTTCTCTGTTGCGCTCATTTTACTTGAAGCACCATTCTATGGGACACGAAGTTCTGACAGCCAGAATGTAGCATCAGCTTTTCAGGCTAATCTTGGCATTCAAGCAGACGTTGGAGTTAGTTGATAATATTCAGCCCTTGATTACTTAATTAACTTGTTGCAATTGTTTGTGAGGTTAAATCTTTGCCAATCAAAGCTCTGTCTTTGAGTGTTTGCCATCAAAATCTGAGCTCTAATTAACACTCGAATGCTAAGTTTTCGGTGTTATCTGTTTTGTACACTCTGAGTAAAATGATAGTGTGACATTTAGTCTCGTTTGTTTGTTTTCCTAACACTGTTGTAAGTTCAGATTGGAATTCTAATATCTTTTCTGCCTCTGAGTGAAATGTGATCCTATGTTCTAGGGTAATTATAGCTCATCTGGGTGAGTACTGTCACCCCTCTTAATTTGTAAAAGTAATTTAGAATCACCCTGTGTATTCAAATAATGTATCTATTAAATTAATTTGTAATAAAAAGCAGTAATCTATTTAGGCTTAAATAAAATTTGGTAACTGGTAGTCTTTCTAATGTAACGCATGTGCTCTCTGTCGTTGGTGTTTCCAGTGTATTTGATTGATTGCTTTGCTTAATATTTTGGAGATCTGAGAGTAGGATTTTAAAATCAGGTTATAATGACTGTGGCTTTAGTGTAGAATTGGGTGCCCCTTCGATTGGCGACATTTTAAAAAAAATTTTGGCGATGAAACCTCACTTCTGGTTACCACTATAGTTTTAACTTTGTTTTAGCTTCCTGATTTTATTTAAATGAAAATAGATTGATGTGTACATGGACATATTTAAGGCAGTGCGCAATGCCTAGTTTGTGCAATTCTAGGATGTTTTTTTAAGTAAAAACAGATTGATGTGTACATAGACACAGATCTTATGCAATTCTTCGACTTCTTATTTTGGTTTTGTGTAACGGCCATTTTGAAATTGTGACTTCCTGGCGCCGATCTTGGCTTCAAAAAAGAATCGCCAATAAACAAGGGGCACCCAATTGTAAACTTTTACCTAAAAAGAAAAAATTTTGAGCCATATTGAACACCATCTTTCAAAATGCTTGCTTATAATAACCATGTTAGAAACCTGGTTAGAGAAAAAAGAAAACTGGCAAGTCAAATATAAATGTCTTAAAAATCTTAAAGCAAAATTCTTAATGTGTCCTGCCTCTGAATAATGCGAAAAATGCATTTCAAAAAGTGAACAACATAGATCAGTTTGGATTGAAACTTTCTGTATTTGTTGCTTACCATGCATCAATATGGTCGTCAACCATTGAAACAAAATTTGGTACTATTCCGTTTTGAGGACCGTAAAAAATTGCAGCGAAAATATATGCGTAAAAGCGCCAAATCTAGCAAACGCGCCCATTTAACAGCGCGCCAAATCTAGCGTACCCGCTGATTTCAGATTGCGTAAGTTTATATAGTTCTATATTTCTTAAGACGCCATTGAAATACTAGTTTAATTTTTAAGTCCTTTTTTAATATCCTATGGATTTAACAATTTGGAATTGCCCATGATGAAAAGTCTGCAATAGAATTTTGGGCAAAGTGCAGAATCACCCACTGTTTGACGCGTTTTTAAGAATTGCACATACTCGGTATCCATGTACACATCGAACCTATTTTCACTTAAAAAAAATCCCAGAATTGCACAAAAATGGCATTGTGCATTCCCTTGACTTTATCCATGTACACATCGACCTATTTTCACTTGAAAAAGTAAAGAAAATTGACACAAATTCCAATTGTTTTTACCCTTGTAAAAAGCGGCAAAGCAAATAAGCGGGCGATTCTGCACTTTAATGAAATGTTTTCAAAGAAAAGGCATCATCATTCATTATAGAGAATTACGTTTGAACAACCAACGAGATGAAATTATGCTTTAGCGATAAGTCGGTAGCGAATAGCGATGCAGACATTCATTCAGTTATGTTTAGCAATTCTTATATAAATTATAATGATGATCTGAAATAGTTATTACTCTTTTGCTTCCATTCATCATGTTTAGCCTTTTTTATATAAATTATAATAAAAAAGTATTATAAAATTAAACCTTTCATTCTAAATTAAAACATCAATCTTAGATAGTTATTTACTATTATACTTCCTTTCTTGCCGCAATTATTTTTGGCAGCTTTGGCATCAACAATAGTTTGGCGATTTTTTACGGCCCTCGAAACCAAATAGTACCCAAAATTTATAAGAAAGAACTACCATCAAATTCATTATCTGAAAATTTTCGTTTATGCAGGGCAAAATACGCACCATTTATAAAGAACGTCATTTCACCTGAATTGCTAAAAGTAACTGAAATTAATAAATGATCATTTTCTTTAATAACTAGATGAGCCTATAGATGTTTCATATTTTAAGCATCTCTGCTAATGCATAGCAATTATGATGAAAAGTAAAATTTCAACATAGTTTTTAAGATTGGTTAAGTTGTAGAAACTTAAAAATGTAAGTAACATCAGATTTCTAAATATCATCACAAATTTGACTGATATTTGCTTTTATTAGTAGTTAGAATCTGCTAAAGTTAAATAAGTTCAACAATTAGAATGGAAAATTAACTGAAAATCACTAAAAATTAAAGTAAAGCAAAAAAAAAAACTTAAAAAGTATTCGTGCAACATTAATAATTCAAGCATTAGGAAGAATCTAACAGTGTGGTTAAATTCAAATTAATTGAGAATTGATTAAAACTAGAGATTTAAACTATGAAAATTAGCAGTATGTTTTTAATAGAGTTTCATCAAAACTAATATGTATAATGCAACCATCAATCAAGTTATAGGCCGTAAATTACGGAACTAATGGCAGCTGAGTTTGTAATGACGTTAGAGGTCATGTGAACTGATGTACCATTGACATTATAAAATTTGCACGATTTCTGATGTCACTTGCAACTTTTTCATTCTTCTACTACTTTCGCTGAAAATTTTTTGGCAGCATTGATATGGGATTACAAAAGTAATCAATAATAAAAAGGGGACGTGAATGAAAAAGTCTGAGATGTGTTGCTATGGCTAATCTTTGGAATATGGTAACGGGTAGTTTGGCGACATTTTGGTAAGGCGATAAAGGTTACTAGCTAGGACTTTAGCAGTGTACATGGATAAAGTCAAGAGTGTGCGCAATGCCATTTTTGTGCAATTCTGGGATGTTTTTTTAAGTGAAAATAGGTCTAGTTTAAAGTCTACGTGTACATGGATGATACCGTGTATGTGCAAGTCTTAAAAACGCGGCAAGCAGTGGGCGATTCTGCACATTCTCCCAATTTCGCACCTAATCTTCGTTATGATTAAACACTTTTGTTCCATAAAAGTTCTAGCATAAGAGTAATTCGGCTAGCAGGTCGTTGGAAAAAAATGTTGCGTAAAAAAAAGAAAAAAAAAAAAAAAAACATGTCTTTACTTAGTGAAAACAAAATGGCGTCCCAAAAAAAACTAGCAGGTTGCTGTAGCATTGTTGGTCGCCAAATTTTCGCCAAGAAATCGCTAAGTTACCATAATCCAAAGATTAACCAAAGAAACTACAGTAAAATTTTTGCAGGAATACAATTGCCACAAAATTGCTAAAGGAAACAATTGTTTTAAATCTACTTTTAAAGGCATAATCATGAAATTTTCAACAACACATTATAAAAAGGGAGTCTGAAATTCATTGAGTGTTTTTGGAATAAATAATTAAACAAAAAATATGAATAAAACATGTAGTACATAATAAAGAATTCTCCCTTACCCCAGAAAAAAAATTATGCCAAAATGGTTGTGCTAATCAATCAAACTAGTCAGTTCTCTCAATATAAATTCATATTTTTCATGAGAATTGAATAAGTTAAGCCTGGTATATACAGATAATATTTCAGTATTTTAGATATAAAAACTTATTAAAGTGGCATGAAACCTAAATTTTTATTTAAATAAATTCCATCTAATGCACATTGATGAATGTATGATACAGATCAAAGCATTCCTGTCATAATATATTTTTAAAAACTTCAAAATGGAAATGTGAATAAGTCCATATCTTATATTAAATTTCTAATATTGTTAACTAATAAAATGACACAAACTAAGAAAGAAAAAAAGTACAAAATTAAATTAAAGTCAAAGAAGAAATAGAAAAGCTAAACAACAAACACATTTCAAAAAGAAGTAGGTTGCCGTAGCAGGGTTTTTTGCCAAAAAATTGCCAA